AACACTTTAACAGCATCACCCGTCATTACTTCCTTTTTCCATTACCTAACCATACACCGTTAGAGTTAAATTGGCCCCGTTCCTCATTATTTGCTATTCGCTCTCCTCTTAACGGTTACATTTGGTGCCGATTGTGTGGAACTGAACAGTTCGTCCCTCCTTAAAAATTAGTAAAATCTTACGGGTATTAGTCCTTACAAACTGAAGAGAGTAACCAGAAAAACTACTTACAATCCGAAGAGAAAAGCTATGGCTCAACAAAACCCTGTTAATCCGCCTAATCAACCTAATGCTATAGATAATCTTGCGGCCCAAATTGGGGCCTTAGTGCAGCAGATGCAAGCTGCCCCAGCTCCACAAATTAATTACAATGCACCTGCCCACGAATTAAACCTAGTCATGTATCCCGATTTTGCTGGCGGAGATCAAGACCCAATGACCTGGCTGGATGAAGTAGAGAAAGCCTTCGCTGCCAATTTAGTGGATGATAATCGAAAGATCGCCATCATGGTCCCTTACCTAAAGGGGTCTGCCGCGACCTGGTGGGCCACTATGCAAAGACAGCTTAACCCGGTTAATGTCTGGGACAATGCAGTTAATCCTGCTCAAAGTTTTCGACCTACTTTTATTACGCATTTTCGAACTCCTACTTTGGAGGGAAAGTGGTTTGCTCAATTAGCTACGAGGAAACAGCAGCCGAACGAAGACATAGATGCATATTATACCTCCATTCAAGAGCTCCTGCGCCGGGTTGAATCTGGGGGGCACCAGTACCCAGAAACTGCTAAGGCCCAAATTTTTCTCAATGGATTGCGCCCTGAATTTGTTCTTGCGATTGCTCCTTCTACCCCTAATACCCTATAAGCGGCCTACGAAAGGGCTAAGGCCTATGAAAGCGCTTGTAGACAGAATTTGTCATACCATCCCATCTCACTTAGTGCTCTCTACTCCACCCAGCCTGGCCCTTATATACCCACTGGGGTTCAACCCCCTACCTCAACCTCTGAATCGGCTATCGAAAAATTGACCGAGGCTGTTAATAAAATGTTGATTCAATTCCAGGACCGAAGGTCCTCTGTCCCAGGGAATTCGAACTGACCTGTTTGTTATAAATGTGGGCGGGTTGGCCATATTAGTCGGAATTGTCAGGCAGTGAACCCCCCAGTTAACTTCTCTCCTAACTCTGTTCCTACAAACTGACTACCAAATTTAAATTTGCCTCAAGAACAGCCTTCCTCTAACCCCCAGCCATCTAACCAGGGAAACCCAGTCGTGTCTGAAGTTCCCCAGAGCCGATAACAAGAAACTCTACAAACCCTTTTAGCCTTGGCTGCCAGTTTGAACCCTTCTAATAATCAGAGCAACCAACATACATATGTCAGTATCATTGACGAAGATGCCCCTTTGTTTGCTGCGGGAAAAAGAGACTCCCAACGGACAAGTAGCGTTGATCGCCCTACAAAGCGAAGAAAAGAAGGAGCAGAGGAAATAGAACCGAAGGAGGAAACTCTGGAGCAACTTTTGGAGGAAGAAGGTAATCAGGAAAGAAATGATGATCACCAAGAGACTGTGGTCAAACCTCCTGGCCCGCTGCCTAAAGTTTCTGTTTCCAGGTCTAAACGTGTTCCTGTTGTCTGGAGGAAGCTTCAGGAAGATGAGCTACCCCAAATTGCATCATTGGTTCCCCGATATTCAATTGTTTCTGATATACAGGACAAACCCGCCAACATTACGTATGGGCAGCTTTTTCGCCTCGCTCCTTCATTGCGGGCTGACTTAGATAAAAGTTTAAAAAAGAAAAAGGTTCCTGCTAAGCGTAAAATAAGGAATAACATTAGTATTGTTTCTGAAAAAAGATCTACTGCGTTGTATTGCGATGCAAAGATCTTAGGTGAGAATATTCCATTAATAGTTGACAGTGGGTCGTCTGGGAGTGTGGTGTCATCATACCTTCTTAGAAACCTAGGTATCAAAGTTGAGCGCCCTTCAACTGTAAACATGATCAATGTTCATGGAGAAAGTAAGAGAGCCCTGGGAGAAATCTCGAATTTCCCATTCGTTGTTGGAGGAATGAAAATTCCGATTGATGTTGTCGTTACGGATGCTGGATCATATCAAGCTATCATAGGAAATGATTGGCTTTCTAAAACCCAGGCAAAAATCGATTGGATAACTTCGGAAATGATGCTTTCTTGGAAAGGTAAGGAAATAACTCTGCCTGTAGAATTTAAAAAATTGGCGTCAGAGCCTCTGAGGAAGGACCACCCTACAACTGTTCGGGACCTTGTTGAAGGATTGGAAGAAACGGATGACGAACTATTGGATAGTGATGAAGAATACGAAGACGAGGAGTTAGAAGAAAGAATGTATGGATATTCGGAAATTGAGGACAGTACAGCTTCATCCTATTTGCCTTTATCCAGTTCCTCTGATATCGTGGTTTCAACTTCGTTTACCAATAATACCAATCCCTCTTGTCCCCTCTTACCTGATACGAGCAACCCCTATATAATAAAAGGGTGTACCAGTAGAAAAGTTCTTGTCTCCTTACCCAATGTAGATAAGCTACCCTTATTAGTTTATCATAGTCCTAGTTCGGACAGTTTAAGTAAAGATGGGTGGCACGATCGCACATCTGAAGTTGATGCAGGGGAGTCTAATTCTGATGCTGATAACATAATCGATGAAAAGGAAAGGATATCTAAATTGAAAAGAAATAAAAATAGACCTTCGAATATTATATGTTTTTATGATGAAGCCGGAAATGCTTATCTTCAAGACAACGATGTTACACCCGATCCTCGAGGTTATATAGCTAGTACCCCTTTAGCCCATTAATGACATTTTTGATTACTTTTATGAGGAGAAACAATTACTTTACCAAGTGGAACCGTTGGAGACCAAACAACATCTCCAGCTTCAACAATTTCTTCATAATAACCTGAACCTTTTTGTTTAGGAAAAAGGGCCGTTAGGACGAACTAACATTGTAAAACATCAAATTGATACAGAAAAGCTCTCCCCATCAAACAGTACCCTTATCGGCACTCCCCCGCCGAGAAGAGTGTAATCAAGAATGAAATTGCACACATGATTACAGAAAGAATTATTCGCCCTTGTTCCAGTCCCTGGACTTCTCCCGTCGTTCTGGTTTCAAAGGAAGATGGAAATACTCGATTCTGTGTTGATTATCGGAAATTGAATGCTGTTACTGTGAAAGACAATTACCCTCTTCCTCGAATTGACGAACTACTGGATTCACTTTCTGGATCGTGCTGGTATAGTTCACTCGATCTTGCCAGTGGGTACTGGCAGGTTGAAGTGGCAGAAAGGAACCACCAAAAACTGCTTTTACAACTCCGTTTGGAACCTTCGAGTTCGTTGTTATGCCTTTTGGTTTAGCTAACGCTCCCGCTACGTTCCAGCGGCTGATGGATTATATTTTTCAGGACTTAATTGGCACATGTGTAGTTATTTATTTAGACGATATTAATGTCTATTCAAAGAATTTTGACGACTACTTAGTTCATTTAGAAGAAGTCTTTCGTCGGTTAACTACTGCGGGACTAAAGTTAAAACCAAATAAGAGTCATTTTGCCAAGAAAGAATTAACATTTTTGGGTCATGTTGTTAGTGAAGCCGGTATTGCTACCGACCCTAGGAAAATTGAAGCCGTAAAAAATTTTCCTATTCCTCGTAATATACGGCAACTCCGGGGGTTCTTAGGTTTAGCCTTCTATTATCGGAAGTTCGTCAAAGGTTTCACCAATATTGCTGCACCCTTGAATTACCTATTAAAAAAAAGTATTAGTTATAAATGGACCATAGACCAACAGCAAGCCTTCGAGACCTTGAAGGAAAAGTTAGTAACTGCACCAATACTCGTCTATCCCGATTTTTCCAAGACTTTTATCCTCTTTACCGACACATCTGATCAAGCCCTTGGGGCCATCCTGGCACAAAACGATGAGAACTACTGTGAAAGAGTTATTTCATATGCTAGTTGAGGTCTCATGCTGGCCGAGAAAAACTATTCTGTTACTGAGAAAGAATGTTTAGGGTCGTTTGGGCTGTTGGGTATTTCCGACCTTACCTGCATGGGGGTCATTTCATTTTATATACCGATCACTCTGCTCTTAAATCTCTCTTTGCTATTAAACTCCCACAAAACCGGTTGGCGCGATGGGTTATGACCTTGATGGAATATTCCTTTATTACTATTCATAAGCCCAGAAGGCATCATTCTAATGCTGATAGTCTATCTCGTATTCAAGGCAACGACAAATAAAAAAAAAAAAAAAAAAAAAATAATAATAAAAATAAAAATAATAATAATAATAATAAAAAAATAATATATATATTTTTTTATAAATATATTTAGATACATATATATAAATAATAATAGTAGTGATATTTTTAAATCCGTTAATCCAGTCCAGGTTACGGTGTCCTGGCATACGAATCTTTTTAGGTTGGCCTGAAATTTTTTTTTAGAATCCTCATACTAGATTAGAGTAAAAAAAAAAAAAAAAAAAAAAAAAAAAAAAAAAAAACATTTGAAGAGAAAAAAAAATGAAAAACTTATTATATTTTTTTTTATTTTTTCCCCCACAAAATTCT